TTAACACAGGGATTCKTGTTTCTCCCCAAAACAGGAATATTTTTAAGCCATGTATTAAAATAGGAAAACAGTATCCTTAAAGCAGTCATTGAAAGAAATCATGATCTGTCTTGCAAAACTTCTTAATGGCACTTTAAGATTTCAGTATCAAAATCTGGACAGAAATTATGTTATACTCTGGTCTTCCACATTACTGGTCCATGCTAGAAAAGCACAAGATTCTTTGGGATAAGCATAGAAAAGGGAAACCGGAAACCGGGCAAAGGCTCAAACAGTCATTTGATCACTGATGACCTGGTTTGCAATTAATATAGTCCAGCTCAGTGATGTGACTTTAGAGTATTTGTTATGTTCTTAATATTCAATTTCAGGACAGTTAAAATCACCAACTGAAGTACACCAAACAAAGCAAAAAGTTTTGCCATTGTTTCATTTCTTTTTCTAAAACTAATTATCCAGACAGATCTATAACCCATGTTAACTTCTGTGGACTAATTCCACTATTCAGTTTACCCTTTTCTCTTTGCAGACATGTAAATCTACTCCTTACAACTGGTTGTTATGTCTATATCACTGAACAATCCTTTAACTAAAACATGAGTGTATGTAGTAAGTCATCTGCAGTATGGAGAGACTTGCTCAATGAGAATGCTCAATGTTCAGAGGATGCATTGCCTAATTGCAATGATAAGACATTATCACTTCAATACTTAATCACTTGAGGGTCTTTTAAAGTTAAATGCACAGTTAATGTACTAGGACACTCATGTGAGGTGACAGTTCCAAAAGCACTAAATGAGTCAAGTCATGGTCACTTCTCTCTGTCCTGAGCTACTTTTAAACCGCACTAAGAATGTGTACAAATCTCTTCCTAGTTCACTTACCAAAACCCATAATGGACTAACCTACATTTATTCACTTTTCCTTCAATGAAATGTCCTTTAAAATCTTTTAAAATTACATACTAATTTTCTTTCCAGAACAAAATGTTCACTCTGTCATCAAATAAATGAAAACAGACAATTCAACAGTGAAAAGCTTATAAGGGTTATAACTAAATTTGCAACTCTGATAGAGATTTTAAGATGAAGAAACAATGTATATGAACTATTAATTCTACACACCAGATAGATAGAAGTAGACAGACATCCACCCGTTTTAGGTTTCAATCCAATCATCCCTCATACAGAATTCTTTCATATTATTTATTCCCAAGGCATTTGTACACTCACAGACACACTGTTTGAAACACTGACAACATTAAGTATTCAYGAAGTTATTTAAACTTCATTAAGCAAATGTAAAACTTAGGAACAAACTTAAGCTAATGCAGAAGATATGTAACAATGCAGAAGAATTGAGCACTTCACTATACGCTAAAAAGAAAGTGTACTTCATTACATGTAATTAAGAAGAAAAACAATTATTATGCTTGGTCAAATATATCACTTTTCCAGTAATTCAATGCATGTGTTCRTATTATTTTTTCTAAGACATAAAAATCTCCATGTATACTAAAATAYTATTTTTAGTGTAGTTACAGAACTAAAGGAAACATGAGGGGAAATAAAGGTTTAAGAAATAAAGTAGCACCTTAGCAAAACACATCAAAATCAAGACCAGACCTGATGTGTAGGTTAGACCAACATTGACCAAATCAAAACAATTCCAGCATAGAAGCACAGCTATTAGTGAGGTAAAAGGATAAAAATATGCCTAAGCCACAAGTCCAGAAGATAAGGATAAAACACAAGAAATACAATGGAAAAATACCCCAAAACAACAAACTGAGAGTTTTRGCGGTTTTAAAGATAAATATATTACAAGACTTACAAAAAAATAGCAACATGAAGTGTTTTCACTTGCGCAATGATCAAAACAGTGCTGTAGAAGTTTCAAGTCCTACCRATGCACCATGTCCCCAAAAACTACTTATATTAATTTCATGTGCAAATTTACTTTGAACCCCAGTTATACACTCAACTGAGATGCATGAAAACATACGGATAAAATTGTCTTTTTTATCCTTATTTTGTTTACAATTCAGTTGAGATTTAAAAATCACAAACACCAGCCTTAAATTCATCACAGGTTTAAGAATACAAATGCCATAGAAAGTAATACTAAATTTTTTCCAATCTCTTAATCTCTTATCTAATCTCATTCTGTGGTTAGGCTAGTAAAAATGGAGGTCTTCCTGAGCTTTTAAATAAAGTTTGCATCAAAAGCAATTTCATACTTAAATACCCTGTAATACTGACCTACCCTATGTGAAAATTCCTTTCTGTTGAACGACTTTATTCTAGTCAGGTTATTTCTTCTTTTTGCATTTAAATAAAAGCATATTGCTTCATTTTAAAGATGAAACAAAGGCACACCACTGTCGATTCAGTAAAACACAAATTTCAGGTTTCAGCAAAACAATAGCATAAAATACTCCACAGCTCTTAAAARCTGCAATGCTTTAATTTTGATGTTTAATTCTTGCATTTCCCATAATAACTGTAAAACAGAGAGAACACTTGACAATRCACTCTTCATGTTCATGCTTCAGTAGCTACATGGCAGAAATCAATAGGTTTCTGTTTTCCTACACATAACATGCATTTGTTTCCTTTCACTCAAACAGTGTTTAGGAAAAGCAGCTTCCCACCTCTTCACTSTTGAATAGTCAATGTGCTGTAATTATTGTAGGCCTGTTAGATTCATTACATGCCYAGGTACATGAAAATCTTGAACAATCATTCAGATTATAGCAGAGATAATAAAAACAGTGAATCATCATGTTTTCTAGAAAGCATCCCTAACTACAAAACTATCCAAAATTCATAAATACATGGTGAAGGCTTTCTAACAAGAACTCTAAATATAGTACATCTGTACCAYGATAATTTTTATACATTTTTAGTAACCTAAATATATCTTGTTTTAGAAAACCAGTCCAAAGAGGGGGCTACTAAAATAAATTCCACTTGCTTAAGTGTATGCTTTCAAGGGCAAAGTTCTTGCAAGAAGCAGGTAGACTAGGAAAGATATGCGAAGAAAGAGAGAGAAAGGAAAAGTACACTGCTCTGATTAAACTGCAAACCCTACACCCTTATCTGACTYAYGCAGTTGTGCAATTTTATTTAAAAGTGCTACCAGAGTGAGCATGAAAACAGAGAGAAAGCTATGCAGCTATACAGGCAAATTCTACCTGTTGTAAGGTAGACAACAGGTCTACCTTCACATTGGTTCAGAAGCACTAATTAAGTATCTATTGCAATGCATTTTGAGTGTTCTAGTAGTAGCTCAATTGTCTACAGAAAATACAATATGAAACATCAATTTATATGTGTAAATGGGTCATTTAACCGTGTTTAAATTCAGTAGCTAAATTACAATAGCACACATTAACTTTACTAGAAGTGCTGACAATTTCTTAGATYCTGAAAGCAAACAATACAAGTGCAATTACCTTATTTGTAAAAAGAAACATGAGAAATGTTGAGATGTTTTACAGGGAAGACGAAAGAGAATAAAAGAAAATATATAGTTAAATGAACATGTTTCTGAGGTATATACTGAAAACAGAATGGATTAGAGTCAGTAGAACCAACATTAAATGACCAAGGAGCAAGACTGCTTTATTTAATGACTGAAGAGGAATCCAATTTAGAGCATGGATAAAGCAAACAGACATCTCTGATGCCTATCCAACTCCTACCCTTCCCTTGCACTGTTTGTAAATGACATACCAAAGGTGAGCATAGATGAGATGGCCTCAAAACAATTATTTTGAGACTTTAAAGTTCTGATTCATTATGACATTCTTAACACAGTGAAGATTTAGCCTTCATTCAGCTTTGGCTCAGAGGCTGAGGGACTGCTCCTTTTCTCTCCCATCAGTGCAGTAATGCCACTACTTTACTTTGACACTTGTGCTCAGCAGTTTTTCTCACAGCTCTAAGCAGGTCCCACTCTCCCTAGCCACACCTTTTACTACCATTCTTTCCTGATGAAAACTGCATCTGTCTGTACTTAATCTCTGGCACTGGTGTGGCAATCTGCTGCTAATCCCTTCTCATCCCAGTCGAATGTCCTCTTGGTTTCATGCTGTAACTTAAAAGGAATATACTGACATTATCTCTACTATTTCCCTACTTCAGAAAGATAAAATTTCGTATCTTTTAAAATGGCCCCTCCTAAATCCTACCAKACTCCATTTGAAATGCAAATATTCTAGAGGAAACTACCTGCTATCTATTTTTAGAAAACCCTTCTACTGCTTCTAACAAAGACTTTTGGATCTGCAGTCCCAGATTTCAATACCTCTGATAGCTAATGTGAAAGCCAAAAAGCAACCACTTTAAAATTCTCTCAGAAGTAAAATCCTGCACAATTTTGACTCTCTGAAATCTAAAACAGAGATTTTAGATAGGGAGATAGAACTGCACCTTACAAATAATTAACAGCTAACAAAAACAGTCAGAGATCACTGTGTTAGGTACTGTGAACGTATTTAACAAGAGATAAGCTTTTATCCTAAAAGCTTGCAATTAAGCTTATTAAAAGTGACACAAGGACATGAGAAAAAGACAAGATAATAATACATTAATTATTATTAGCATAAAGAGGAGTCATAGCATACCATTTGCCTAGTCATTGSAAAAAAATAGCACAGTCAAGCATTTTTTAAAAAAGAATCTGAAAAAGAAAATGTAAGTGACAGACTTAAGCAGGTCTGCCCCTTTTCATGTCAAGGGCAGCAGAAAAAGTTTCTGCTGAAAGTTTTTGAAAGTTTTTCAGGGAAAACTAAAACAAATATGGATGACAACACTGGCAGGCCTAAAACCAATAAACTGAAAACCTTAGTAACACAGACAGCTAGATTTTGTTCTAAGATGTAGGAGTCCGGTACGCAGGYTTTCCACCCTTCTCAAATGTTTTTAGGATTTCAATGAGACTTTGTCATGTTGCTMAATTCTATCTACACTTACTGGAGAACCAAATATACTCACCTCATCAGTAAGAAACTCCTTACTTAGGCCAAAGTCTGTCAGCACCACATGGCCATCAGAATCGAGGAGAATATTCTCGAGTTTTATATCCCGATATATAATCCCCAACTGCAAACAGAATATAAGAAAATGTATTTCCAAATATGTAACCACATCAAGAAGATATTGCTGAATGCATTTAAATGTGAAGCTACCAAAATTCCCATTACTAAGATAATCTGATACACAAAAGTTGCATCTCAAAAAAGACAATTTTTAAAAGCCTTTGTAGAAACAATTTAAAAATTACATAAAAATTCTCAGAAATTACACTGTGTATTAATGTCTTAAAATTTAAAAGACMTGTTACGTAACCCCAGAATCTAAAAGTGATCTAACTTTATAACCCCTGAATATTTGCTGTTGAGTGCAGATCTCAGTTCAGCTTACATTAAGAATGAAAATGCATGCTTCTCTTTTATGTTCTAGACATAGAACATAAATACATGCTTTGTAATAGTCTACAMATCTACTTACTACTTTTGGGGACTGTGACGCTTTTCATGTCYACAGTTGTGCTAGAACTCTACTACTCAGTTGTGTAGAAACAAGGACAACTGAACAATACAACCCAAGACTTGTTCATGATCACAACAAATTAGTTTTACTGACATACACCCTTTCAAAAAGAGTACTAAAAATTAACAGATCATCTGTCAATAACACTGCTCTTCACCCTGCAAACAAAAATTTATAGCTGTAATCTGGTACACCAGAAGGGACACTTCATTGCAAATTATTTCTAATTATATAACTAATGTCCCATTGCCAGATAAATTACTTTCAATTTAAAACAATCTAAACCAGTTCTCCTTACTAACTTTATATGATACAAAAAGAATACAGCTGTAAGTCCTCAATATGAGCAACAGTTTAAAGTTACTTTACCTTGTGGAGATGTTCAAGTGCCAAAACAATTTCTCCAATGTAAATTTGCACCTCGTTTTCTGAGAATCTCTCTCTGTGTGAAAGATGAGTAAACAATTCTCCTCCATTTATATAGTCTAAAAAACAGAACAAAGAAACCTATATTTTCACTTTCCAACGATTTTGTTCTCTTATTGGAATATTATTAGGTACTTTATAAGCTATTTAGTAACAATTCTACCATCAGATGCTTTTACTTTATTGTAATTCATTAGTATTTCATCATACTGTACAATACTCTTTCTTTCTTGGAGGACTGAGGGAAGAACAAGACTCACTTYTGAATAAGCAGCAAAACCATAAAAAAGCCACAATTATTCCTAAATTATATAGATGGGGTTTTTCACTAAATCAGTCTTTTAGTTATTTAAGAATATGAAAAGAAAGAAGTACAAATTATATCTACAAACAGGACCCTTGTAAACTTCTGAAATACTCTGATGAGCAACAAGGCAAATTGACATAAATAAAGGCAATTCATAAAAGAGGTATTAGGGGAAATAGTCAACTCTGGACAACTATAAAATTTTCCCTTTACAAGGGAAATCTTGATAGCAAAACTTACTGAAGGAGATTATTTCCACATACACTCCCTCATGGAAACCACACTTTGATTCTTTGCAGGCTATGACACAAGGACTTTCCCACAGTAAAGGAAAGAAAAGGAATTATTACAACAGAGCTCCACTGTAACACAGACATATTTTAGAACTGTTACACTAGCAGTGTACATTGCAGCCATTAATTTGCCACCTCACAGTCCCCATTACTGTATTTGAGGTCAATATATACAGAGCAGGGAACACACCCCACAACATCTTTCTCAGTATTTTCTTGAATATAGTTTCCATACATTCACTGGTATAAGACATAAATCCATGAAAGGGGTCCAATCCTATTTTACGTTAATAGTTTGAAGGAGAACACATATATACAAATTACAGGCATACTGATCTCTCTCCACTTTTCAGTTCTCCAGTTCTCTCTCTGAGAAYCAATGTTAGTGGAATAAAAAAAATGTGAGAGGAATTATTTACCTAGACCAGTAAGCAGATGAAAAGGATTTAATGAAGTTTAAATAACCCACATTTTACAATTGCTTCTTTCTTCTAAAAAAATTTCGGCATGTAGGAAAAGGTAACAGAAACAAATTTTTTATGGTATGGTATTTCTAGCCAGAACTAGCCATAACTTAGTACAAGGTAAGCACTGAATTGCCAGATGTTGTTCTAAGGACTGTGCCAGATCCAAACCAAAGCTGAAGAGAGTGGCACAAGGAGTTAATTCTATGCAGGTTGTAACACTAACCGCAGCCCAATGAAACGAMAAGTGTTTAAATTTTTGGATTAAATGTATCACTGACACAATGGGAAAAAAAATTCCTAGTCGCTTCAGTATAAACTCCACCTGACAGTTCAGACTGTTAAACCCTTTTTAAAGTATTAAAGGTTAACCTTGCGTGACAAGCTTTGTATAGAATTGATGGTACTCACATGGATACATCACTTTGTTTCTTCAATATAGCTTAAAGCCAAAATAAAAAACTGAATCAATTCCCAACCTCATTTCCTGGAAATCTGGCAAAAATGCATCTGCATGTCTGCACTTGATTCAGTCTAAATTCATATAGCTATGAAATCTGACAGCATGATGAACTGTACTAAATATTGCACTGAGGCTCCAATTCTAAAACCTCTTAAAACTAAAATGGCAGATTGCTCTCACACCAAATTCAGCCAAGCATGCCAGATACTGGTTTCTCCCAAAATTCAGAAGCCTCAACACTTAAAACACTTAAATTTCAAAACTAAATTGAASTGATTTATACAGACTTAGATAATAAGACATGAAAAACTTGTAATGAACAGTTYGGGGTTTTTTCCCTCAGGGAGGGTATGAAGCCCAGTTGATCTCTGAAGTAGGTTTATGTCAAGTTAAGTAAGAGTAATTTTCAGTGTTACAGACAGTCATTAAAAGCAGTTTTTTTRACTAATTATTCCTATTTTCTGCTGATAATGAAGGAAAAAAGAATCTTCTCGGCTCCAACAGATATGCTGAAAATGGATGTAGAACTTATGAAAAAGGAGACAAAGCAAAAGCCTGCAATTGTATGTGAGCTATGAACTTGCTTCAAACATCACTTCAACATTGTATTATGGTGGACATGTGCCCAGTCTGCACGATCTGCTATGCAATGTTCTTCAGAACTACTGGGTTCACTCATTTTTGACTCTTGTGAGACTATAATATCAAGCTTTTAATTTTCTTTCATACATGAGGCTTTTATGGCCTTCTAATTATCCTTATCACCTAAATATCCCCCCACTATGTATTTTTTTAGGCAATTACATCTATCTCAGGTTTGAGGGGGGGGTTTGGTTTCCCCTCTTTGTTTTTTAAATATTTGTAATGGGATCTAAGCTGCATTCTAGCAAAAAAAATCTGGACTTATAGAATGATATTAAAATATTTATAATAAATTTTCACATTTCATCTMATTTAATATTTCATTTTTTTCCAAATTATTAATCAGTAACTTTAAATCCAATATGCATTTCAAAACCTTAATTATTAACAGCTACTATCAAGGAATCACAAAGCCATCAATATATTTYTAACTCTACTTCTGACAATCTTTCATGTATTTCTTTAACATCCTAATCAGAAGAATTTGCAAGAAACCATATCATAATTTTCAGCTTTGATTTTCAAAAGAAATCTAGTGAATAATCCAATTGAGTTCCTCATATTTATTATTTCTGTTGCATATGAAACTAAGATAAGTGCATAGAACACCTTTCTAAGAACTGACATCTAGACGTGCAATTCATTTAACGGTAATAAAATTTTGATAATTTAATGTAAATCAGYCTGTTAATAAAGGTTAAAATGTTGAAGTTATGAACAAAAAGGAATGCAAAACTCACACTTCAATCAAAGGACAATTTACTTCTTCAAACAATTAACTGGAGAAGTGTATTATGAACCCAAACCTTAAATTAATCATTCACTTTACAGTTCTTTTAAAATACTCTAAGAAAGAAGGTTTTAAAAACTGCTGGCAATTTTCTTACAAATACACCTCACACACCAAACACTGAAAGTGCTGCTAATCTCAAAGTTTAAGATATTTCTATAATTAAGGTAGTACCAAACCTCATGAAAAAGACTCTACTTTCAGCACTGAAATGTGTGGTTTTGGATTGTTTGTTAACACCCAAAAATTTAAATATGCAGTATATCAATACTCAAAGATCAAATTATTTCATAACAAAACGTATTGGCAGCAAATGATTCCAGGTCATTGATGAACACACGTGTACATTTTTTGCTGCACGTAAGTCTCAGATAACCACTACCCCCCCACAAGTCAGAGTAGCACACTGAAGCTCAAACAGGAAAACCACAAACACAGACACTGTTGCATATGAACGGCATTTTACTTCCTATGCTCTCTCATGCAATTTCCAAGCACAGTATACTTAAGACCACATTAAAAAAACCTTACAAAACATTGAGATAAACTTTCTTTTCATAAGACTTGAATCCTGAAGACTACTCACCTAAAATGAGATGAAGCTTTGTATCTGTCTGGAAGGCATAATGTAACGTGACCAAAAATGGTGATTGCCTAATGTGCTCCAAGACTTGTCTTTCTGTCCTTGTGTGCTCAGTTGTTTTGGCTTTTTGAACTATTGTTGCTTTCTTCAGTACTTTCATGGCATACAGTTTTCCAGCATCATGGCCGCTTACTTTCCTCACTAGGAACACTTTTCCATAGGCTTAAAAATTGGKGAGGAAAAAAACCCCAAAAAACATAAACAATGAAAAGAAAGAAAAAAAAAGAAGACAAAAACCACAAGTTACTTATTTGTACTACAGATATGGCTGATACCATTATTACTTTCAATTACTCATTGTTATTGTAAACAGTAATCACCCAGGCTAAAAATCTACCAAAATACTTTTTCTCTTTCAGATTGACCTTTTCTGAGCAAAATTTCAACCAAATCAGCTTTGTAACTGAACACTGCAAGAGTAGGAAAAGCAATCGAACCACTTTAGTATTTAAAAAGAGTTTTAAAATCTTATGATTTTTTCCTTTGCAGTAACCTAAAACACCCTAGAATAAATACCTAGAACTGAGCAAGAGTTCTGAATAATAGAGATTCCATTTCTTTATCCTTAAAACAATCTGCCCATACTAGTGCAACTCAAATACTTTCATTAGTGGTTTTATAGCACTAAAGTTACAAAAATGCAKAGAAAAGTCAATGAATTTTTCCCATCACTATTTTGTACATAGGAGCTTTCTGAGGCTCCCTTACTGGACTCAAAAGGACTCCTGGGAATTCTACACTAATAAATTTGATACCTCTACCAGGCAAACCTGTAGAAACAGTAAAGATTAGAATTAGTGTGCACTTGCAGGGCCATGATCTCACTGTAATTACAGAGATAGTGGGATGGTTTGCATAACTGAAGTACTGCCAATGGATGGTTACATATGTTTTAGGAAAGAGGCCAGCAAGGTGGTGGAGTTCTCTTTATGCAAGACAACAACTAAAATGTTATCAGACTTTGCCTAGGGGTGGATGAAGAAGGAGCCAAGAGCTTATGCATAAGAATTAAAGATAGGCTAAGATGGGTGACAGTGTTATGGGTGTTTACCACAGGCCACCTCATAAGTAAAAGGAAGCAGATGAGGCCTTCCACAGACAGGAGGAAGCAGCCGCCACCATCACAGGCCCATGATTGTCATAACCACCCCAACAGCTGCTGGAAATGYATCACAGCTTGGCACATGGGAGCCCGGGAGGTTCCTGCAGAGCACTGGTAACTTTGACACAGGTGGTGAGGAAGCCCATAAGGAGAGATATGCTGCTGGATCTKGTATTAACAAAGGACTGGTTGGGTGTGTGAAGGCTGAGGGCAGGCCTTGACTGCAGTGTCCATGAAATGGTGGAGTTCAGGATCCTACATGGAGAAAGCATGGCAGTAAGAAGGATTATAGCCCTGGACTTCAGGAAAAATAACTCCGGCATCTTCAAGGGCCTGCCTGGAGGAATCTCATAGGTTTTATCTCTAGAAGGTAGGGTAAGTCCAAAGAGACAGTTAATGTTCAAGTAGCACTTCCTCTATGCTGAAGATCAGGATATCCCCGTTAATAAGACATCAAGCAAAGGGGGCTGGWGACCTGCATGGATGGGCAAGGCATTATGGCAAATTTCAGACAGAAGAAGGAAGTTTACAGAAAAACTTCCGTGAAAAAAGGGCCAGGTCACTTGGGAAGAGTATAGGAATATTGTCAGAGTATGGCAGGTATGTGTCAAGAAAAAGAAAGGCACACTTGGAATGAAATCTGACAAGGRATATCAAGGACAACAAGAGGGGCTTCTTCAAGGATATCAGTAGCAAAAGGAAAATGTGGGTCACTGCCAAATGAAGTAGGTGACAAAGGATACAGAGAAAGCAGAGTTACGGAATGCCTTTGCTTCTTACTGCTAAGGCTGGGCCCCAAGAATCCCAGACACTGGGGGCTTTCCCTTCACTGAGGATAAGGTTAAGCAAACCTAACACCCCCAAATTCATGAGCCCAGGAGGGATTCACCCAGGAGTGCTGAGGGCTTTAGAAGATGTTATTGCTAGGCCTCTCTCCAAATTTGAAAGGACATGGAAAACAGGAAAAGTTCCTGAGGATTGAAGAAAAGCTAATACCACTCCAGTCTTCAAACAGGGCAAGAAAGAAGATCCAGGAAACCACAGGCAAATCAGCCTCACCTCCATCCCTGGAAAGGTGATGGAACAACTCATCCTGAATATCATATATAAACACATGGAGGAAAAGAATAGTCAGGAATAGTCAACATGGATTCACCAAGGGGAAATCATGCTTGAACAATGTGACATCCTTCTGCGAAGAATAAGATACAAAGATGATTGGAGAACTGGAGCATTTCTTATGCAAAAAGGCTGAGAGCCCTGGGCCTCTTTAGCCTGGAGAAGACTCAGAGGGGATCTTATCCACATGTACAAAGATTTTACAGACAGGTGTCAGAGGATGGGGCCACACTCCTTTCAACAGTGCCTAGCAACAGGCTAAGAGGCAACATACACAAACTGAAAAACACAAAGTTCCATATGAACCTGAGGATAAAATTCTTGAACTTTGAGGGTGACAGCACACTGGAACAGACTACCCATAGAGGCTGCGGACTCTCCATCTCTGGAGATATTCAAAGCCCACTTGCACACAATTCTGTGCAACATGTTCTGGGATTTAGCAGAGGCATAGCATTAGGTAGCCTCCAGTGGACCCTTTCCACGCCAGCCATTCTGTGATTCTGTTGAAGACATAAACCAGACTTTACACGAAAGAATGAGTGTTACTTTTTTAGATGGCAATAGTTTTGTTTAGTTGCCTAAAGGAATCAGTAGGAAGGAGATATGAAATGGGTGACTTATTAAGATCAAGGCACTTAGCAAGTTCTCTTACCAAAAGGTCTTAAAAACACTAAACAGTTACAGGTGCAAAGGTGGGGGAGGGTCCCCTGAAAAAATGAAGAGYTGTATTAGAAGACAAAGAGCTAAAAAGTTAATAACAAATATTAAGCTTTTGCAGAGAAAGCAGGTCACCACAAGAATTCATCTTGCCTGATTCAGTCATATATGAACAGTGAGAAAAACAATTTTCTTGGTGTAGTAAATTATCCAGTGCAACAGAAATTCAAGCTGACTGCTGAAAATTCTACCACAGTATCACAATACTAAGTAGCTGAAAAAATAAAATGGCACCGAAAATTTCAAATAGTAAGCACGTTATCCATATGAAGTATCATAATAGCACATAGTGTTAGAACGGATGAGAAAAAAGTACCTGGAGTCACCAAAGACAATCCTATCAGAAAAACACAGTGGTAATTCAAAAAAGCAAATAGAATGTTTGAAATTTCAAGGAAAGTATTGAAGAAATGACACCAATGTACCATTCCCTACACCTTCAACACAAATCCAGAAATCCCTTATGCTGTGGTACAAATTTCTGTGAGCTCCTGTCTTGAATGAAGCACACTATTTTGGTACCTTCTGCCCTCTGTCCCCAACTACCCTTCTCCCATCAGAAAAAAATAGCGTAAGACATCAGAAAAGGATAAAAGAATTCCTCTAAACATGAAGGGAACTAAACATTCTTCCATGTTTTATTTAGCCTGAAAAAGTAGTTAAGATGATTACAGAAAGTTGAAAGAAAAAAAATCAGAAACTGTAAGAAGGTAAGAAAAGAACAAATTTTCATTATTTTTAGAAACAAAATAACTAAGGCAACAAATTAAATCATTAGGCATTGGCATTAACAATTATGCAAAGCACACAAACAAATATGCAGTTAAGCTGTGGAACTACTGCTACATGATACTGCAGCTGTGAAAAATGCGGATGAATTCAAAAAGATTACATAAATCTGTGAAGGAGAGGAAAGCACAGCAAGTGATGCCAAACACTGAAGAGAATCTCTGGCTCAGGCAGATCCCAAACTGCAGGSTGCAACAAGCTCACTAAGGAAATCATTATCGCAAGCCTCTCCTTAAGCCATCATGAGACAGAAAAACAAGCCAGCTGGTTTTTTTTTTTGTCCAATCCTTGTAACTACCTTCACACTACTTTCTCAGAGAATGCTCAAATGTCTCAAACCTGAAAATACACTCAACAAGTGTACACTGTCCTGATGTGAGCCACTCAAATTTAGCTGGCCTTTAAAAATGCTGCAGAATACAGAGCTCCTAATAAGCATCACGTGCAGCTCCAGGTTTCTTTCWGGATTTTTTTTCCAGACGGGTAACAGAGAGTTTTAAACTATCAAATGATGTGAGCTTTTTTTCTAGATCCAAGTTCTACTTCAGTCAGTATACAAAACTGATACTGCTCATATACCAAACAGTTCTTTTCAAGAAGTTCTTTACCTGATTCATCACACTCTAAGGAATCATGCTTTTCTTCTTTACAGAACTCATTATCTGCCACAAGAGCTTTCATAAAGTAAGTTTCCATAACATATCTCTCAAAAATAGCAAATAGAGTCAGAATACGTGATRGTGAACATCTTTCTATTTTGTGAGATATGCAGCACAGTCTCTTTCAAGATTCTCAGTATTGTGTTGCATTCTCCCACTTTGTAGTTACAAGATCTCCAGCATGTCTAGGCTGGACTGAATGCTCACCAGCTAGACCTCAAGAAATGGAAAAATAGAGATGTAAAAAGATTACTTTAGTAAAGCAGGCATGAGCTATAAATCCTATAAATCATATAAATGTACATACACAGATGATCTGAATCAAAGTTATACAGACCCTAATATAGCGCCCACAGTAATATTGTTATGCATATGTACCATTGTAATGTTATTTGCCTATTTTCCAATACTGGATATTAAATTATTTTTAGCATCTGAAAAACAGATCCCTACTAATGAGATCATTGTTTTAAAGAAACTGCTTCTAAAAGAAGTATTTACAACTTTATAAGGAGTTACTCCTCAAAACCAGTGTCAGTAACATTTCTGCATTTTCTAACATGCAACAAAAATCATGCAGAGAATGGCCTTAACTTGCATTTTCCAAATGCTTAAAGAAGCAGCCCTAGTTTTCACCAGTTTTCAGCTGGGGCTTGAAAATTAACTCCGCACGCCTTTCTGAAAAGCCCAGTCTAGTGCATTAAACACAAGTTTCCTTAGATTCCCAGGAAACAGTAATTTTATCAGAAATATTGGAAAACATTAGGCTAAAT